TACCTGCACACAAACTAATTGGCATGGACTTTTTAAGGTTACTTTGACTCACGATGCATTCGCATAGCTGCCAGTTAATAAGACGATTATTCAGGAAAAGCCAGCAGTCTAAAGTGCATGCTTCCTTCATGCACGAAGAACGGTCATGAACCCTTTGCAATCACCTAATAAATGAGGTGAATTGCGTTGGATGGTAATTAACAAAATCTGGATAACAGTGTACGTAAGACTGGAAAATTTCTTTTATTGGTAGGCAGTGCTACGTTTGGAAAGCGCAAGTTCACAATCCTTACATGCTTGACTCCACCTCGTCGAAACAGATTTCCACCAGCCTGAGATTTGCATGATTAACAATAAAGTTTATGTCAGATCCCGTTAGGTTCACGGTTGAAGTACAGTCGCTGGAACAACTTTTGCGCAATAACAGGGAGCCAATCCTGTATTTACTGCGAAAATGCCACACTTACCCGTATTTGAGTGGGTAAATAATTGAGGTGAGAGCATGACAGGCATCGGTGAGACGAACCAGACTCTGAGAGCAGACCAAGAGTTTCTGATCACTCAGCATCGCGGTAAACATCAAGAGTACATTGTCAATGCCTACAACGAAGGAGAGATAAATAAGCCAAAGTATTTTTGTGTTTTTATGATTCTCCTATTGATGGTAGTGATGTGGAAGCCGAGAAACTGGACTTGCGAAGTGAAGTAAAGGCCCCCTATGGAGATTTCCACGTATGACAAAGCATATTGGGATCTTGCAGAACCGAAAAAAATATTGACCTGACCGGAACTTCAACACAAAAAGCACCAATGACATGAGTACCGCAACGTCAACAGCTGCTGTAATAAATTTCATCTTCCCAAGAGCAAATGAAGACGGTGTCAAGGACTTGGCTGAGGGTTCACCTGTCAAAATTGTGGGCACGCAGCCCATTAGAAATTTGCAGTAATTATGTCAAGTCCTTTTTAATGTAAAAGGCTTTATTGTGGGAACTAACTCCTCAAACACCCTATTGAAAGACAAAATCCAATAAAGAGGAGAGGTAATAGGTTGAAAATGGTGTGTCCTGGTTCAGTAAAGGCCCTAGATGAGTCTATAAACGAGACCACGTCGGTATCGCACGACCGAATGAATCCTAAAACAATCTAAGGCGACGGCTATTTAGCTATGCAAAGAGGTTCACGGTTTCGTGGAGTGATATAATGTCCGTTTGTTTATAAGCTACCACGGTATCGGATTTCGGCGCTCTCCACATTCAAATGGCAATACTAAATCAACAAAACTGATTGACTTGGTGCGCGGTCAAGTTGATTTTAAGCCTTGATCAGTAGGCCCTCAAACGCATAATCACAAATGCGTATCGACCGCCAGAGTGAAATACACAGCACCGAAAAGCACCTTAGGCAAATGCACTTTAAATGACAGATAAATCAGTACTTTGTTTTGTTCTTTTTTTCATTAGGCCCTACACATACACAACACAACTTCAATGGATAATTACTAAGTACCACCCTAATCAGCCAATTTTACTTGCAATTACACACAGGCCGCACAAACCATACTCGTCGTTTTAACTACGAAAAACTCCCGTTGACTTAGGCTTGAATAGTTCAGGTTTTAATTACATGGAATTCATAAACTTCTGCTTAGCGACGTACTGGACCTGGGCTCGAGACCTCGAAAGCAGCGACGGAATGGAATGGACAAGGAAACAAGCAAAATTGCATCTGCATACATAAAAGACAATTCTGACAGTGCTTCACTCGAGCGGTTCGCAAGCGGGCCCATGTGGAACGGCGGTTAATTAGCCCGCCCAACTCCCCACAAGACAATGTGTAAGAGCCATCCGAATGTTACTGGCCCCAGCCACCATCGAGACATTCGCCTAGCATAAAAATCACTGGAATGAAGGCGTGGGAAACACCTCAAAAACGTCACTAATGGACTCACAACCTACTATGTAGACGTCCTTTTTTGCCACTTTTAGGAGTTAACAGGGATTGGTGAATGGGCAAACGAGTCCTTGACTTAGAGCAATAAACACTGACGGCAGTTTCAGGTCTTTATTTCGGCTTGGAACTCCTAAGTTGCACACTACTTAAAAGTACCAGCACTCGTAAACAATTTAGCCTTTTTCTACAAGGATAACTCTTCCAGTATTCCAAAAGACAGTTGCAGACTCCGATTCCTGTGCATGGACGATTCCTCACAGCTACGCATGAAACGGTCAAAAACAATTTCAGGCTCTGTAGAAGTCACCTTCTATAGCAAAATGATTCACTTGGTGGCTTAAATAGAATGTTCCGAGTGCATTGCCGCTAGAAACTCAGAGTCTTCAGAACTGGTGGCTATGTCCGCACTTATTAAAACTCATTAAAACTCCATCTTCCACTTTCTAATCTCTTGTTCTAAAAGTGGTATTTTGTTCATCTATGTTGACGATGTTCATGGGCGACAGTCACACCGAATTTACTTCGCCTTCCCTTCCTCAAACCAGCTTTGAAGGGCCGATAACATCTCACTCTACCACCAGAAGTTGACCATTAATTTGGTAGTGGGCCCTATTTCGTTACTATGCAAAAATCCAGTAAAATTTAAAAATATCTGATATTTGATTAACTAGTGATATATGATATACACAAAGAAAACACTTACAGCTAAATTACCGCGAAAAAAACAGATGGAAAAAGACCTATTCAATTTTATGCGTCCTCGTAGAAAAAATAAATTAGGCGAATGAGTTTAAAGATTAGTCCAACGATCAAAAGGCCCTGGAATTCGTTTGGCCTGATGTGCATCCTGGGTGTTGTGTGAAAGTTCACACACGCGAATCATGGCATACAAAAACACTTGCACAGTGACTGATCCTGGTGATGGTAAGGATCAAAACAAAACACTCAACCTGAAACGATAAACGGGTCTGCAAAATAGGCCTACCCAAATATTTGAAGAGACTAGCCACGGAGGAACGAGTGACAGGTATTGTTTGGCACTTTGCGGGCTGAACAGTCTGGCGGTCGTTGGCACCCACCGTGAAGGTTTTTCGGGGACCGCCTAAACCGGATAAAACGTGATCAGACAGCTTACCACAACGGAAGGGATGTGGTCGATAATACCACTAAACACGGCCATACAGACCACCAATAACATGCACAGTTGAATGTTGAAAAAAGTGGGTCACAGCATAATTGGCTACCACAAAAAGGACAAATTCCAATTCCTGTAATGAAAAAACAAGACTACTCGAGACTTATAATACAACCGTAAGTTGTCTGAAAGTCTAATAACAGGATGAAAGCGTTTGTTTTCTGACTTCTTCGGGGGATGGCCAAAACAGGTAAGGTTGTTCTAGAGAGCACGTGTACTCATTAGCATTTGGAAAAGTGGCTTAACCACACCAATACTACTGCTTGTTTGAGTTCTCCTACGACAACGACGTACCGAGACCACTGTTACCATCGAAATAGAACCTTTACATTGTGGTGAATTGTGTCGGAAAATATATCAAACAGTAAAATTACATACGGATTCTAAGAAAGTGCAAAAATCAGTAAGAGTCACCTGTAGCGTTTTTTCAACTCCAACTATTATTAGAGATGAGACTACCTTTCTAAGAAGATCACAATGATCAAAATTTCTGTCTTTTAAAGATTTACTAAAACTTAAGTAAATTTTCGAAGCAATTTCTCCCGGCTGTTGAAGTTTGAGGGTGAATTAAGCAGGTAAAATCATGACGATCACTAGCCAGGCCGAAAGTCCAACCAGGGGCTATAGCAGAAACAAGTAGTTCCAAGTAATTGAGAGTAAAGAGAACCCACAAATTTTATTACTGTTCCAAGGCCAAAATCCGAGCAAGACTGAATGGTAACGTCCCAAGCAGCCAAACTTCAGTCTGGCTGCAATGAAGTCGGAAAATGAAAATGGCGGTTTTCCAAAAATTAAAAATATCCGGATATACTCTCAAAAACTGCTAAAAGCCGCTTGGCAAGGCACCGAGGACGTTGGACTGCTATGTTAAATACGTGGAGGAGCATTTTACGTAGGCACAAGCGTGAGGCTCACAAGACCGCAAGAACCTACAATTTATTCAGACATCAAGTCGCAGCAATGCTTTACAAAAAGTCTAACTTTAATGCGGTCATCACGATGTTCACAACTCTGAAACTAAGAAACAGATCGTCAGTAGCGGACAGGCCTCACAACAACCCCACCAAGTTCACTCCTGTCACGCACTACCTACATTATCGGAACTGCATTTGAACTGTAAGTCAGCTTGGTCATTACTGCAAGTAGGCACAATAACATAAGAACATATCTCTATGACTCATTTCGTGCTACGACAGACACGCTAAGGGTTCACGAAATGCGCGTGTAATAATGACCTCGAGCCCAACATGCCAATGATCCCTACTAACTAGCAAGGGACGTGCAAGAATTTGATTAGACACCCGACATATAGCAACAGGAGGTCCCCGTGTGTGCATAATGCCCTTACCACGTGTGGCACCGCTGTCAATCTAGAAAATATATTAAATGTAATCTGGAAGAAATTAAGACAATGACTATGACAGGTTTCGACGCATAATGAGTTGACCAACTTAACAAGAAACTTGATTCCCACTGCCAAACTCAACCGAGAGATTGACGAAGGTGGCATATACCCATCTGCATTCAGTTGTTCATCTATCTCATTTGGATGCTGCAAACAAACTGATTACACTAAGGTAGAAATGAAATCAAAGACACTTTTAGCTATAGATCGCGTGGCAATCTGTTTATGCTATCATAGTGATGCCGAAGACTTAATTGTTTCGTCGAATTCATTTTTCGTAATGAATGAAAGATCGACACACGTCGCATCGATGGTTGGAGCAGAACACGCAAATAAGCTATAATAAGACGCAGTGTACACAAACAAAACATGGAAATTAACATTTTTGAAAAAAAAAAGGTAAGGACTTTATTTGCCAGATAAGAGTAATGCAACTAAAAAGACAAACTGAGTTTTAAAACAAGTCAGACATAGTGATGACCAAGCACACCCACAAAAATACACTAGCCAAAATGTTGCTGCCATTTCACCGGGTGACGCAGTAACGCAAACGATTGATGATAAAACTGTTTAAAGAATCAAGCATAGACTACAGCACGCCAATTTTACTATAAAAACTACGTGTAATATAAATAACTTTTTCAATACTACAAACAACGGATCGACTCACCAATTGGCGGTATTTCAACGCCTCCTACAATATTTCCAATTATTTCTTCCAGATATAATCCTTTAGGACCGTCCATAAACACGGTGTATAAGATACTCAAGCAGTTCTACAACAAAAAACATTTACATGCAATCAATAAGAACTTAAACATTATTTAGACCAAAGAAGTACGAAATACAGTACGATTGGTTAATTGATTGTAAAGTAGCCCACGTAGTAAGTCCCAAAACAGACACGAACGTCACAAATCGTTGTCTAAAATCACAGAGAAATGTTTGGGTGCATAAGAGGTGATGTATGGGGCCCTAAAATTACGGTTGATGAGACCAAAAGTAAGGCCTTAAAGGAAACATTTAAGCTAAGATGCAAAAAATCCCACCTGGAGGACTTTAAAGTGCTGGTGCCGAGCAAGCAGTACAATGCATTTGGGAGCAAAGAGTTCGGTGGGACGGACAAGATTGGGATCCACGCCAGCGCCACCGACGTTGCTTGCTACAGCAGCCATGTTCTCGCAGCTATTGAGCGGACTCAAACTGCCATCGGGCGAAATGATGGTAGCCGCTTGGTAATTGTGGGCATCCGAGATAGCCGTGGCAGCGGTGCGGTTACCATGAGAACAATGCTGAATAATGTGTTGCTGTTGGCTCGAAACAGCCTCGTAAAAGGTGAGGCAAGCAGCGTAGTAGTGGCTACCATCAACATCCGTTAGGTAGGCAACGAAAAACGTCGGTGCTTGTCGGTTTTTTGTCAGTTGCCACCCGCACGGTTGACAAAACTAGATGGGATCAAAAGGTATCGAAGTAGTGCCATTTATTTTCAAGAATTTCGCCATTTTCACGTTTCATAAGAAAAATCTATGGATTTTGGAAAATATGAACCACAAATTTCTCAACAAACATTTGTAATCCGTTCAACTAACAGGGAATATGAGAAATCTAACATTCGTCATTGCCTTCCTGCCGTCTTTTTATCAATGCTGTGATTTACCAAATGACTGACTATGTGTAACAATAGTCAGGGAAAATAGTTCATGTACCTGTTTTAGGCCCTTGAAAAGAGCGCTAAATTACAACTGAAAATAAAGTGTGAACTAAATAAAACATATTTGAGGCTAATAATACGAACTGAGTTCTCCGGTGGCAAACTCTATGTGTTTTCACTGAAATAATCTCCAACTAACGAGTAAAGTAGAGGTTCTTTCGTAAAAATTAAACTAAACAACACAATTTACACTAATCTTTGCAGTTCATTTAATCTTCTCGGGTGCTTACAGTGTGGCGATAGCGCCTTTTCATCGATAATTAAAAAACCCAATTGTTGTACATTTAGCATATGTAATTTTCGCAACACATCAAAGGGTACTAAAAATAGTACTATACATTTTTTTTAAAACAACCTGGCAAGCGAAGCGATTAGCTTCAATTATTCTGGGCAATAATACTTTTTTATATCATGAACACGAAAATGTTAGCAATGACGACAGACCCATTTTCGTTCTAACAAAACTATTTAACACAGACATATGCTGATCTGTCATGCTCATTTTTATCTTTCAAGTAATCATTAGATTGGGGATCGTAAAACTGACCAGTGATAGACATTGCGGGGCTTAAAATCAGTGAATAATGGAAAGGACTAAAAAAACACTGATGCCAACTCCATTAAAGTGGCTCATCAACGTAAGAATGCTCCCTTTTTACTTTTATTGGTACTTGTGCTTTCAGAGGTAGTAGAAAACCACTTCCGATGATTGATTGCGTTTCAATAAGCGTACCAAGTAAATGAGATTTCTAATACAGCTCAGACAAAAACTGAACTAACAGTGTTCAATTTATATTTAATATTGTGCATTAAAAACAGCAAAGAGTGAACCCAAAGACTTACAGACTCCACATGAAATTCATAGGGATAATTGTTCCACTCCTTCGTCGGAAAGCGCTGCAAGACCCGACCTTGACTTTCTAAGTCAGCTGAAAAGTACAGTAGCCATATTAACACTAAATATATTTGCTATTCGACAGAAAATTTTCGAAAGCCGGTTTCGCCGCATTCACTACCTAGAAGTGACATGATACCGGCACTAAATTGGCGACCGACGAATGAAACACTTCAAAGGCACTTGCATTATTTTAAACCTCCAAACACAGTACTACAATTCACAGAAAAATTGCAGGATGTGTGTCAAAAAGCTGTGACCGTTTACTAAATAATGACTATGACAATTTGGAACTAATGTGTGTTTATGCGTCTGCATCAACGCCCCTCCAAGTAGATCAAGACCACTTAAGTAAAACTTTCAATTAAACTGTTAGAAAAAAATGAGCCAACTATAATGGCACTTGGTCCCTCGTGTGCAAAATTAATAAATAAACAGCAATACAGAATATAACAATTACTGTTGTTTAATAGAAAACAGCCACTAAATGACGAATAAAAGCTACTTCCAAACTAAAATCAAGGATAAGCAATTTTAGTTTGGCAAAAAATTACTTGATTTCTCAAAATCATATCCAACAACAACAACATAGTCCGCCAGTCGGACCATTTCTTTTTAAGGGTAGCGCTAAAACGTCTGATTATTATAATGAATACCTCGAGAAATTAAAACAGATCACATTTTATTTTGCTATTATAAGGTTTTTGCAAACAATTTAGCAAATACTATTTACTCGTTATTATTTTTGTTGATTTATTCATGTTCATTGCATCCCTCATTGGGTTTTGACTGGTAGTTCAATTTATATACATTTCAAAATTAGCTTTTTTATCCCTACACATTACAGAATTATGCCTTTGAAAGCTTTCATTTAGTTTTAGATTGCTTTAGAATAGCTCTTTACCAGCCAGCATAATCAAAAATTCCAAAATAAACTGCCAGTTAACTGTCACTAATTGCACTGAATAGTTTAAATGATTTCTTTGAGCTTCATAGCAATTTATTTATTTGACTATTAGATGTTCAATTTGTTTTAGTATTTTAAGTAGAATTTTGTATATAACTGAATTTCAGCAAACACGTCTGTTGTTTCATTATGTAATCATTATAGTGGAAAACTTTACACAGTCAAAAAACATTACAATCCAGAGTACGCATTAATGATTGCATCTTTTTGAATTCATTACAGTTCAAGTATTCAGAAATTACAAAGCTAGGTTTTACATTATATCTGATGCAGCAGTGAGGCAAATTTATTAATCAAAATGGCACAATTTTGGATGAACGAATTCAAAATTTATACTTTGTTTAATGGATAAAGCGTTGTTCCAATTGATTGGATCTTTTTTTACAAAATAGTCGAAATAGTATGTGTCGCCAAATGTAGTAATGTTCTGATTCTTTTTAGAGGATGACGTGGTTGCTCTTTTTTATCAATGCGAGGGCACAATTATTACCAAAGATACTCTTTCCTATTTTTGATCTATTGTTCACAAATAAGATGCAGTTAATATTTCTGTCGCCATTTCAGACACATCATATCTTCACAATCATTTTTTTCATGTAAATACCTCCTAGTTGTGATATTTTGATTATTTACTAAGGACATCTGGACTCAAGTTTTCACCACAATTACTGAACTTTTAGCTTACGTATTTTTATTTGTCCTCCGTTTCTGATGGTTGGCGGTGCTGGCAGGTGATTTGACAGTTAAATTTAAAATTCCGTTTTTCTAATTTTAGGCTCCCTGAATGTGTTCTGATATCCGGATGTTCATGTCGCGCTTAAAGCACATCTTTAACTATAGTCCGTTAGCGTTTTTTTCTAACCTGGCCACGCTTACTTATTCCACCTTTTCACACAGTCGTACTTTTCTTAGACCACATGGCCAGTTGTCAACCGGTCCTAATGTCTAACCATTTTTGATATTCTTACAGTGATGATTACACTAAATACTATATTTGAACACGCTATGCATGTGCCATGGGATCTACTGAGTTCTTAGAATTGATTGCGCTCTGTATGAATTTGGAGACAGATATTTAATCAAACAACTAATTCTCTCATGGGCATTTTTAGTTATATTTTTATGATTTTAAATGGAAGAGTGGGCTAACCAATTTTTCCCATTTAAAATGTCTCTGTCAGCGCTTTAACAAGTAGGGAAGTTTTCTGCTTTTTTGTTATGACTATTGAAGTCATTTTCAATGTTTCGATTTATCAACTTTTAACAACTAAACTTGATCACGACAGGAGATAATGTCTGCACTTAGACAAGGTTATCGCAATTTGTTATTATTCTATTCGAATTTCCTCGCCCGTCATCCTCACGGGCAGGTATATCAGCAAGGTTGCTTAAGGCAGATTTATGTTTTCAGTAGAAGCATTCGACTACCTTCAACTGTGATCCGAGATCATGAACGGGTATTACGCACAAGGACAGCGGACGGGAATATGTTTGACACCTTAGTTGATTCCCGATTGTATGTAGCAAGATTGTTAGTATTTTTAAGCTATTGTGGCAGTTGCCCTGACGGTGTTGCTTCTAACCTGAAAAGCAAGTGAATCTTTAAACATTGTGGATGAGCAGGTCTGATTTGAACATTGTAACCATGATATCTTTGCCAAAATCACAGTGCTTTATTAATGAATCAGTTGTTTTTCTATTAAAGCCTACTGCGCCATTAAATTCGATTTAGACATGGATGGTTTATTTCGGTTGGAATTGATCTGAGAATCTAGGTTTTTGTAACTGAAATTTAAGAAATCACCGCAAGGCTGACATGGAACATCTCCAACACAAATTTTTCTCACATTAATTTTCTTCCATTATTGTCTCAATGGGTACATCTACCTAGGTTAATTCTCAATTTCTATCTAACTACAGTGTTTGCCATCACTTTTGGTGCCTTGTCTGCTAGACCCAAATAGGAAAGAGTTGTCTGTAGCACAGTCTCCTATAGCCCTCACTTATTTGGTCTAATTGCAATCCTGCGTAATTAACGACTAAACCTCTGTATTTAAATTCATCGTTGTGAAAAAATACCTGAAATTCCACACGTTTTTTTATTTTTCTAACGAAGACTCTCATTTTCTCTTTTTCAAACAAGTTTTTTCTGAGTTTTTTTTAATTCTGACGAGCGCATTCAAAGAGGCTTCGTTTCTGACGTTTTTTTCTTCTTTCACTTATAAACCTGCTATTAAATGTTCTAACAGTTCAGGAGAGTTTTAGTCACTCATGTTTCGCGAAATGCTGTATTTTGTCTTGAGGTGTAACTAATTAAACCAAGAAGAATTAAAACAACTCAGAATACCTAACGACAGATTGATGCTGTATTGAATAACGAGCGATTGTCGAGTAACAGAATGAAGTACAGTATTTGGTCAGTTCGAGCTGTCTAGTTACACGGGTATTTGTGTCGTAGTTGAACTGCGCGTGTCAGAATTAATGCATTGGCGTTTCGCTTACTTTTTAAGTAAGAACTGCTTCGATGCGGCTTGATCAATGTGGCATATGTGAAAGTGATAATCATTTTGACAAGCCGCTAAAAGATTCCTCTAAAATCTTTGTAAATGGGATCGCCAGTGAATAGTCAAATTAGGATCAGCTCAAATTAGTGATACCTGCTTAGTTAATATTTTAGCCTAGCTAACCAGACGCGGATCCGAGCGCCAAAGAATGGCGTTATCTGAATGGAGTGGCCGGTCAGGGTTGCTATGTATTTGATTTCATCAACCTCCCTAACACCGAATCGAATTTTTATCCATAAATTCAGGCAATGATGTAAGGCAGTAAATGTTAATAAGCACTGTGGAATCGTACCAGGGAACTGTTCATATCATTCTGATGATGAATATACATTGGGTCAAATTGTGCATCACCCTTGATAAATGCCTGTGGTGATTCACCATATTTGTTGTTCATCAGAGATGAGAATGATCACTGTATCGGATCTTTCATACACCTCAACGGCAGGTTCAAAAAGCAATATTTAATACAGTTAGTTTGCCGGCAATTCTTACGAAAGATTGAATCAACGTGACCAAGTCTAATCCCAGTTGTTCACCAAAGAAAAAATGTGGAGACCAATCAACAGTGCAAAGTATCTCAGCGAAAAGTACTTTTATATCAGTCAGAGTTTTACAATTAAGATAGACTTCGGTCCAGATCTTTTCCCAATTCCGATATTCCATAAACCCACATAACATTCTATGTCTTCTAAACCTTGGGCCAGGAATTGAGACATCAATGTGGGGAACGTCTGTGCGCGAAACTCCTAAGGAGGCAGTTCGTGACCCTGCTTAGGTTGATGTTTCTAGATCTGTCTAGAGAAAGCTTGCGCTCCTAAACCTACTAACGCTAGAACTGTTTCATCACAACAATGATTCAGTCTGGTGTCATTGCACAATGCACGGAACGACGAGCACGTATTACCACTATCAGTTCAACCTCGACATCAAAGTTCTAGTACAAAATGTTGGGGAACATAAGGCAGCAGCAAATAATCGAAAGGGATCATCTTCCGAGTTCTGATTACAGTTTACGAATTAAAACGTGTATTTATACTTTAATGTGGTTTTTCGACAATGTTTCCGTAAGCCCGAATGTTCAAATCTAATGGCTGTTTGTCGACCACCTTTGTACACCAAATATCTTGAATCTATGGGAAATATTACGGGTTCTGAAAACGTTTCTTGAAAAGCACCACAGCGAAAACAACAACTTAAGGTTTCATGAGACAAAAATGGCGATGAATAAACAGACAAAAAAGATGCCCTAACACTTAAGACGGATCTAGTTACCAATCAATTACAAATAAAATGCGTGTATCATTTGCCTTAAACGCCAACTGCACATCAAACGTGAAAAATACTGGCGAATATTCAGAGACAGGAAAATGCATCACATAATTGTGGTTCTCCATAAAACTAGGCTACGAATTACAGAAACGGGAACAGCTAAGAAGCGAGTAATTAAACATCTCGTCAAAATACTAAAGCACCCATAAAAGTAAAGTAACTTGAATTTCGTCCATCGCAAAAAGGAACTAGGATGCCAAAATTACCCGACTAAGCTTCAGCCAAATAAAAGTACCTTTCCAAGAGCCAGGGAGTTATTTTCGAACACAAATTCTGTTCAAAAATATACCACTGCACAGATAAATAGTAAATATTGCAGGGATCCAAAACTTTTATTCAGTGGCACGCATTTAGGCGACAAGGGCCGAAGCAGTAGCGCTATCGTATTTCCAGTTGGGAGGAAGAACTCGTTTCCTTTTATAGTATCGGACAATACGGTGGATGCGACTCTCCGTAAGAATGAGACGGTACTTGCCATCCTTGTCCTTACGATTCCTATCGAGATGCTTGCGGATAGCAACAGCTTTCTTTATCAGGTGATATAAGTCATCTGGGATGGCCGGAGCGAGACCGGCAGCCCTAAGAATACGAACAATCTTGCTACCCGCCAACCAACGAACTTGAGCAACACCATGGCTATCGCGGAGGATGACCCCTATGTTTAGGGTAACGACAAAAATAAGAACGTACCAATTTGAGAGGGCGTTAAACCTTTCCGTGCGAGCTTGTAAATTTGATCTTTAACTTCCTCAGCAGATAATTTTTGCCACGATGGGACCGATCGCCGATAAGGCAATGTGCTTTGAGAAATACCCTTTCCGTGACCGTAAACACGACCCATTAGCTACCACAAATGGAAAGACAGCACACGCGACTCGAAGTGTTGAAAAACGCGCTCGAAGCCGTCTATGGTAGGTTAAAATAAACGCGCATTTATGGAATTCCGGTTTTGAAGTTGAGAAAAAAACGCAGTTGTCATTAAGAAACAATTAAAATGCTATATTTAAAATCGACCTAAATGGTTGCAAAATTCAAACAGTTTAGCAAAGAAGAATATTAATTCCCATTATCACCAGATTAATCAAGAATTATTATCTTGGAAGCTATATGTCTGACTCCACTTAGTGCCACTTTTATAATTTTTGATTGCTTTCTTACTGAATAGCCATGACAATTCTTATATCATGGATTTATTGAATCTTCACATAATACGCGTTTTGAGACTACAATATGTGAATTTACCTGACTTTCATCTTCAATGTATTTGCTGATAATGGGTAATTCTCCGGTTGATTTCTGTTTAGTAATAATATTCCTTGAACAATATTCTGATTTTCTGGCAAGTTTCTATAACAAATTCAGGTTTTAACATGTACAAATTAAGCTCCTCGTGTGGTTTGCTACTCAGGCGATATTGAATTACTTCAAATGATGATGGATCGTAACCTAACCCTTGTACCTTAGACTATTCAATTCGAACTTTAGGATGACGTTTAATGGCAAATAATGTTGGGATTCTCGATAATAGTGTTCCCTGTGTGGAAATAATTACATTTGGCTGTGTCATACAACTTTAGTGGCAATGTCAACGTATTACTAAATGTAATTTCGCCTCTAAAGTAAAAATTTGTAAACAAACCACTTTTCGTTGATGTTAAAACTAAAGGTTGTAATATATGTGTTTCCCAAATGCTGTGCTAATTTTGTAAGTTAAATGAGACTTGACACTTATAACTCGAGTAGACTTGCGCCACTGAAATTAGTTGCTAATTACAAGATTATAAGCCCTATCTTCCTGTGCGCCTAGTTACTTTGTACATTGCTTTTCTAACAGGATTCAAAGAAGTTTGAATTAGCATTAAAGCACAATGATCAACGATTCTTTTAGTTTTGTCACTTTCGTTTTTACTTAGCCTCTGGTTCTTCATCAATAAGATTCCACCGCATCTCGAAGCCTAAACTACAGAACCTAAGCACAAAACAATGTTTAATAAATAAACTGAGTCAAGGAGGCTGAAAGAGTGAATTTAATATGATCTAAATGCCAAAACCCAAAAATAACTTTTTTCTTCAGCATGTTGTAGTTATAATTCCCTGCTTATTGGATGTAAATTTTTAAGACACTTGGTATATTTGTTGGCAATATGTTTTTTATCGATGTTTCAATCCATTTTTTTCTCTTAAACACACTATTCATTTAACCGACTTTTGTATATGATTCTGTGTTCTGGCGAGTTTTTAAAAATGAAGGTTCCACCACTCAGGTCGCTAAATGATTTTCTCTTTTCATGTTTCAGTGTGCCGAAAATGGAAACTTTAAACGAACGTTTTACTTCGAATATGATATATTATCAGACAAATTACTTTTTGATAACAGCCGTACTTGTTGGCATAAATCTGTATGACTCATCAATTGCGTAAATATGCGATTTTAGAATCTTAAGCCCAATAAGCGTCTTGGTCAGTGCCTGCACTCTTGCATTTACGGCAACGCTGTACAATAACTTGGACAATTGGTGGCCTTTTTCGTCGCGTCCGTCCCAGTTAGGGGTTCATGCTGTTATTTCAACTGCCATTCTTTTGTATATGTTGCCTATGATGACTCCTGCTATCCTATGTTTGTCCTCGATTACGCTTGGTAGGAGATTGTTTTTAACATATTCATTGTCTAGTTATTATGACGCATGCCTTACTCCGTCAAAGAAATATGATGAACAGGGTGACGCGTCTTTTGGATTCGAACTCACCCGGTCAGTACAAATCCCCAATGGGATTGATTCTAGGAAGATACGGAGAATGACTTAAGCAAACCTACTCTTTTTTGTTCAACACGCCATCGTACTTTCTACAGTGACTTTTCGGATGCGCTTTCTTCTTACTATGGGGATTCATCAAATGTGGTTAATTGTCTTGAAAATGTGCCTTCGCAGTGAGTAGCGAAATGGATAATTCGTCAAACCATTGTGGTTAACCATCAAGCGGTGAAGATGGGACCGCAGTTGTCATTCGCAACCCGTAATTCGCCTAAAGCGACTCCTTAAGCATGAACCGATGGTACATTAAGTAGTGCGATTTATTCAAAAGTAAATTGACCGGAATCTTCGGGCTTTGTTTTTAGAATATCGCCTTTTTTCAGCGGCCGTAGTGTGGATTTTTTATTCTACCATATTTGACTTTTTTAAGTAGCTATTTAGGGAATGTTTTGTGCACGTCTTCAGGCCCTATCCATTATGGAATCTCTTCGTTAGATCCTTCTCTATCGTCGTCATCTCTAAAGACTGTTTCCATCTTGTCAAATGTTTGCAATAAGCAATTTCGGTAAACGGTTACTATGGCGACATATTTAACACTTGTCTGCAAACTGAGCCTTCGAAATTTTAATTGTTTACTAGTAGTCTCCTTTCCAAGTATGCCTTTGTGTGTCCGGCCGTCATGCCTTTGATTTTTATCAATTACACAGCCCGCATCTTCGTTCCATTCATGCCGATGAAACCGTCCCTTTAAGTATCAGTTCATTAACAGTTAGTGGGTAATGACATACCGTTTTAGGATTTGGAGTCTCGTCTATGATACTTTTTCATGGATTGATAATTTCGGGGTTGTCGATACTTACAAATAGTCAAGTTAGTTGAAGAAGTGAGTTAAAGTACGTAATGGATCACAGGACTTGGTTTCGAAATTCGTGCTTTTTGCGCATTACCTCTGTGACCTCAATTGTCGACTTTGGACTTTTTAATTGGATGGTGTTTTTAATAGGTAGGTGAAGCTGTAATCTGAAGCATTAAACTCATTGCAGGTTTATTTCAGTTATGGAAATCATGATTGTATGCTAAAAAGTCTTAATCTAATTAGCACGTCGGGCTATCAGGTTCGTAGCTCTATCAAAATTGATTCGGCCCTGTTTTTTATTTGCTTCGCAGTCTTCGCATGTTGTATATCTATCTACCACTTGTCCGTGGTTTTGTTTGCTTAGCGAATCCTTACATAATAGCCATTGACCTTTAGAACTTGAAGTCATGTAACTCCTTTATCTAGGCACCTCTCTTGAAGTTGTTTAATTACTCCTCATTCTTACTCCAGGTTTGTTCTCATATCTGGTTTAACATTTTTGTCTAATCTCGTAGTAGCTTGTATTCACAAACTCACCAACTACTACGACAGTATATCAGATAAATTTTGCTGAATGTTATCTCGTTATGACCAACAGTGTGGTTATTTAAAGACCTGTGGCAACTATGTGCCACAATTTTCTGTCCTAGCAATTCTACGCATTGTAGTAGTATTCTTGATATTTTTCTGTAACGGGGTTGGAAGTGACTACGGTATTATGTGTTTTTGTGGCCAAATAATTTTTTTGCACAAACAAATAAAATCTGTTCCAATTAGCACCAGGGAATCCTTTGCTGCGCAGCGTACCTTGACGGCGTTGTCTTTTTGGTTCTTCATAAACTAAAAGAACCAATGTTTTTAAGTAAAACAGAGATGTGCTTAAGTCGCTGTTCACTTCCGTCGATTCTAAATATGATTGACATTAAAACATCGAGTTGTCTGCCACGGATTTCTTAGCGCGTTAATATTGGTTTGATCTTTGTTGTATCAGAAAAAGCTTAGGCGCAATGAATAATGTTGGGAACTGTTGTAGTTGGTCAACGTGAAAAACAGTTTGAGCTCTAAATTGTCGATTCGAACTTGAAATCTGTCACTTTACTCATTGTACGATGTTATTGTAGTTGTTGATTATTCGTTGTCCACTTTAATTGTGGCTACCTATTATCCTCCATATTTCTCTTTCCATAAGTTCACCACCATTTCTTTATATGCCATAATAATTCACGATCATGAAACGCAAATGTTTCAAGTTGTAAATATATGGTTTTAGGTAAAATGCCGAGGAGAGTACTGGGCCTTTTGGTTAGTTTACTGCTATTCACCCTGCCGTCAACAAAGACTTCATAACGGCCTATCAAAGTGGATTTTTGGTGACTGGTGTCACGTTTTAATCATGAAATACAAGAAACTGAGATTAAGACTGGAAGACCTATTAAGCTTAGGACCCAAAGACAGATAATTCATGCAGTATTTTTTATGTCGGTGAACGCGGACGGAATATTCCTTTCGGTGGAATGATTCATCGTTATTATCACATATTTTTGAATCACTGTATACTATAAAGTCAGTGGGATGAGATTATATTCGATTTTCCTGATAATATAAATAAATTAAGCTTTTTTTGTTTTTCATAGCCGGGAGTTAATTTTTGGAGGTTTAGCATCGTACTCATGAGTTTTGTGCCACACTACGCACAAGAAACCGCAACGAATTACTCGCAACTAAGGCTTGATCCCCAGTGTTATAACTTGTGCAATCCCCTTATGAACCATGAAATGGCAACCCAACAGACCATTGATGAAATAGCAAAACTAGCGGCCTATTTTCCTCGTTGAAAGTTGAGTTGTAGATGTGCCATGATTAGCGGTCGATTAACTTAGGTACCTCCTTCAAAGTAACAGGAGCAGGTGGAAGCAAAAGCAATTCTAAGTTGATACCAAGTCACTTTGTTTGGTTTTTTAGTCCAAGCTGTGTATTAAGAGTCTTGTGAATCATTGATACAATTCAAAACTATGGTTAATGTAGCTGCTGTGGGTTAGTATCACTTTTGTGGGGAAAAGTTTTGCCGCAGGTGTCCTCGGAGCCACTCTTCGAGGGACAGAGTATAGAAGGATTTCACCAGTCTCACCTGTGTACCTGGATTTCTTCAATGATTGTCATCTTCGGTGTTTGCTGTGTCATTGATCATTAAATTTACTGCGTACATTCAAGTCTGGGCACATAGTCTCACCGAGGGAACGGTGTAGTAAATTGCTTGTTATTCCGAGGTAGGTACCGGTCAATTGCGTTGAGTCGTCCTTGTCCTCGTCTTTCAATTCATCAATTCTTGGGTGGACAAATCGGCATTAAAACAACGGCTATGGATATCAGGTGTGCACATGTGTAAAAGGTCTCCACTACAGCGGGAGGTGGAGGCGCGGTGACTACGGTCACGCCTTTGCGCCTAAACCCAAGCACAAAAGCGGCTGAGTTTGAGGCTAGAGGAATTCACCAATCGATGACTGTGTGGCGAGCACCAATCGTGAGCGAACATGACTCAATTAGTTTGCGCGAATGCACTCCAGGGTTCGATTTTTAGCATGGCTATATATAAACTGACTTGTTATCTTGTACACACTACACCCACACCACTACCGCATCAATAAATTACTTGAGTTGCGAGCTATCGGCATTCATTCTCTTTCTGCCGACGGACCGTGTCGACGCAGATCGTCGGCCCCCGCTTGTTGTTCAAGGCAGCACCTAAACTATTTAACTCACTCTGAAATTGTATAGACCCTCTCTGATGTCTCACAGCCTACAACAGCAACAGTGGAACTGAACGCCATCATTGCGGCCTGTGAGGAATTGGCCTAATAACCTAATTTCAAAGTTCACAACAAGGCCCGGTGTTATTTGGTGCCCACCTGGTGGTGTGTTGTTTGTGTCAGTAGTAGTAGCATGTAGCACTTAGGTGCTTAGCGAGGTAAGGAACGAAGCAACTATCACAATGAGCCACATCTACCAAAAACAAGGAAATATATTTGAATTTCTCTATTTTACGAAGCTGGAAGTTATAAAAATACTTCAAATCCCCAAAACATGGTCTTTGTCGAAATTTCCCTTTGCAAATTAATAAAAAACACTGCCTCAATTTTCAGAAATATTTCTTGAAGTGTTTCAATCCACGTGTTCCAGACACCCAGGTTGCGTTCTCTTACAATACAAAGCTTGTTAATCGCAGTTAAGTGCTGTGGCTTTTATAGTTTCCATATAGCATAGATTCTTACATGAATGCGGTTTGCGTATCCGCCTGTTAGCTTCGAAAGAGCTAAAAAGGTCCCTGCATAAGTTATTTACTCTTTTTGCTTCGACATTCACGAGTCCTCATTGTCCCACAAATTAGTCTCGTATTCATGCACTCTTTACAGGCGATAAAAGGAAACCTCATCAGTTATCACTTAGCGTCAACTTCATCTTGTAAATTAGACTGGATACAGTGTCTGGATTATGCATGACAATGGGAGTGGATGCCGTATCACTTCGGTAACTTGAGGCCGATAAGTGCGTGTCGCCGATCAAAACGACGCCTTCGTGCGAATCGGAATCAAGTGCATTAAATCCCCAAATAAATGTTGACAGCGCAAAGGCGCCCTACTGGCTGTGTCGGGAAGGCGGGAGATGCTGTGCTGGGCATAAAAAACTGTTTATGAGGCAACACTGGAACTGCAATACCACAGGACCAAGAGTTAGACATTGGAGGAACAAAGTGATGGCGCTAGCTTAGAGTATTTTACTTTGACACATCCATCGTGCTGATAAACTCAATTGTCTCCTCTCTAAAAGTATAGTTATCCACGTTACAAAATGTATATTCATGTTGGGGAACTCATCTAAAAGCTAAAAGCAGGAAATAAGAATGAATACCTAATCTGAATAAATACGCACTTTGACGTGATTCACTTTCAGGATATTCAGGGTCGAACAATGAGTTGGCTATAACGTGCCAAAAAATCTAATTTACGGGTAGGGATTCGTTCAGATGATGACTGGCTTACTGCCTTAACCACCCAAGTGTCGTGCCAATGCACCAAGTACACGTTGAGCTCACCGCTCTCTTGTACATAAATGGCATTAAACAATGTTCCATATGGTTTCGCTGTGTATTCGCAATTTTTATCAAAGGTGAAAGTATTGCATAAGTGGTCTACAGTCGTCTCAGTTAGTCTTTGGCGAAAGTTTCACAGTAACATACTTGTGGGCCTAAAGTCCTTCAGTTAAAATGGTTCAGTTTTCAATTGAGCTTTCTTCGACGAAAAACATTGTTTGACAAATAGAACTGTCAGTCATACTTTTTAACAAAAACTCTATATTTCATAAATCTATGCAAACTTCTGCCTGATAACACTCATGCAAAAATGCCATCTCTGTTTCCTATGTGACATTCTTTAGGTTATCGATGCATTTTTTTAACACAAAGATGACGACTGTCACAGTGAGAACACGGCTTTCTATTCGGGTGATTTTAGCAATCTAATTTGCTGTATGGAATAAAATTTAAGGTTCGCGTCTTCAGTCAAGCCTAACGTAAAGCTCTGTTGTAGAGTATCATTGAATAATAGGCGATAGTGAGTATTTAAACCGTGTTCATTAGTGAAGTTTAATTGGACTCAAGTGCCGCTATGCTTAGCCGCCAAAAGATTGTCTTAATTCAATTCAAATCCGATAGTTTTGTGGCATCATTTCCGGCTGCGTATTTCAGAAACTTTCAACCTCTGAATTAGCGATAGAGTCTCGAACTTGGTTGCGATGCATGCCATTGCACATGCTACAAACATAGGAAGGTTTTTTGAAAACTGTCAATTTCCGAGAACAGGTACTTTATTGTTAGCAAAATTAACCACCAGCGACGCCGCACGAAGAGCAGCCACGGTGTATTTCCATAAGAAGACTCTTCAACGGCTGTGCGTTTTCACGCGAGAAAAGCTACTGTACTTACATTGGATTAAGCCAACAAAACAGGCCAGGTAGCAGGGAATAATTTTTGGATCACGTCATCGGATTACTTCTGATGGTTGATGAACTGGTATCATCGATGCCATTTTGATATTTTTTTTTTAAATTAAGAAGTCAGCTCCTATTCACAGCCTTCAAAATAAGTGTTGCTAATTGCTAAAAAAACTTCTGAACTTTTTAGTTTCTATCTTTTATTTTGCAAGTGTTTCAAAACGAAAGTGCTCGTTTTAGTCCTTTTTCTTGAAAGCCTCGCTAACATTCCGTCAGTTATTAAAATTTACAATTGATACTATTCGGTTAGTGACCATATAAGATGATTGGCTTGTCTCTGTAAAACTCCGACTTTATCTAGGATTAGTAAAAAAAATCATCGAAGTGAACAATGCCTTTGGTCTTCTCCAAAGCCACCTGTTTGGGTGCTTTCGTGAATGATGAAATCACACAGGAAGATTTGCACGCCGTTATGTGTCGCTTTTTTGACCAATTTAGTGGTATGTAAAGTGCTACCTATTCGAAAATTCGACTTCCAGAACCACGCAAATTTTATTCCTTGATCATTGTACCATGAGCCTGTTACCA